TTGTCGATGCTGGTAGTACACTGATCGTTTGACAAAGAGAGATGATTGCGCTGTCTTCGTCTCTCTTTCATTGCGTATGTGTGTAGCGTCCGTGAAGGCACAACACCGATACGTTGAGCACACGGATGCGATTGTTGGGAGATAATGTCAGACAAGGAGCGACAATCGCGTGCTATCCTTGTTCCTCTAGCGTATCGCTTACGGCCGAAATACGGCCTGAAAATGCTTTCTGGCCTCTCGTAACAGCAGTAACTGTAACATAACTTGTTATTTCAATGTAATATTAAATAGTTTCATTGAAAGATACGTATTTGTTATGTTAATAATTGTAACATTGCATTTATAATATTTCATATGACATTCAAGTTATATTACAATGTTACGTTAATGGAATAGTACATTATATATACATAATTTCCGCGGTATTGCTGGGCTGCGTTCGAGAACGACATCCAGAGGAGATCCGAGGATTAAAATAGGATATCCTCAGGATATCCTACATGTATGTCCTGGATGCCCTTTGGACGTCCTAAGGACATCCTTGTGCTGTCTGGGTATAATGATGCGTTAATAAATAATTTAGTAAAATATTAATTATAGTTACCAAAATATTCATGGCACATATAGAGCAATGTTCATTATTTAACAGTTATAAATAATATGACTGAAAGCTGACACGCATCTGCACGACGCACACAATGAGCGCGGGGAACTGCGTTTATTAACTAACAAAAGTTCTCTAATTGATGTCTTATAGAGTTTTCTTGAAGACAACTTACAAAAGATGTCTTTAAAGAGCTCTTTTTGATATACTCAAAAAGTCATCTTTCAAAGGTGCTCTGAAAGTTATCTTTTGCGTGCAAAGCATCAAAAAGATGTCAATTTGACAGCTTTAAGAAAATCTTAAAGAGCTCTTAAAAAAGATGAGTTCTAAGTCCTCCAAAAAGTCATCTGATGTTTATTGGGTTATCCCTTCCACCTCGGTTGCATGTTGCTCGCGTCTCAATTCTGGCATCACTGCCCCAGGTCAGCTAAAAAAAACAAACCAATTGTGTGTCCGCGGATCGATATTGATATTTCTCGAACGCGCGCGACACAACCGGCACTCGCGTACCACGACGTAATAAAGAACACTCTTTTAAAGAAGAACAAACTTTAATAACAAGGGACTCAACTATACACAGAACACAGATTAGATAATATCTCCGTAATCATATAGCGTTTTCGAATGAATAGGTTAACCCAACTCGGTTTAATTAATCACTATATTTTACTGTATATTCAAGCCTTTTATTGGCAGAGACGATGCAATGACGTCATTAATCGCTCTCGGAGCGATTAAACCTGTTACATTCGAAAACACTAATAAATACGTCCGCACGGAATGACATCCGTCGCCAGACTCCAAGATGGCGGCTCCCTAAACAAGATGTCGACCGTTGTTTTTCAACAACCCCCTTAGCAACGTGTTAGGGGATGATCTCCTAGAGACAGGTAATTCAGGAATAACCGCCACAGACGACACGCAGGGACAAAACATGAAGGGCGGACGCAACAATATATATATATATATATACAGGGTGAGGTATTTATAGTGACGCGGGCGTATTTCTCGGAAACGAAGCGAGATATTAAAAAATGTTTTAGACAAAAGTTGTAGGGTTCCAAGAGGGACACATGATGAAAATATGGACTTGACCTTGAGTGACCTATTCAAGGCCAAGTCTATGTGATCAATATTTTCTTAAATGGAATCCCCCATTTTTTATTGCATATTCTTGTAGTGTCAATTAGTGTAAAGAAAAAAACAAATAATTGTTTAAAAAAATACATAGTAAATAATTACATACTTTTTCTTAAAAACAATTATTTTTTTTATACTAATTGATTTGTC